AAGTTTTAAAAAACAATTAATTTGAGTTAAAGAAAAATATTTTTTCTAGTCAATTGTTAAACAGATTTGAACGCAAAACTTTTTAAGCTCTTCATTCATGGCTATTTGTTCAGCAATGAGAAAAGTAAGACTACTCAGGTGTTGCTTGAATTTTTTATTGCAATCGAGTTAATGCATTCGCCATACACCATTGATTTCATCGTAGAAATTGTTTGGAATTCTAGGATTGTAAAATTTTTTTACTTCTACTGTTTCCTATCATTTTGCAAAGTTTGCAAAAACATTTTGTGTTGCTTGACCCACATTATAGAACACTTGTTGAGCTTTTATAAGAGTGTCATATGCTTTGAAACATGACCTATTATAATTTTTTAATTGGACATGATAATCATTCCAGTTTGCATAGATTCCTAGTTGAAATCCTGCAAAGACTACAAACCATTTGGTTGATGGTTGTGTTGGTTGAACGGGTTGTTTACCGACCTTTTTAGCGATTGTGATCCAACCATCCTTTTGAGGCTGTTTACCTCGATCGCTCATCTGTGGAAAAAGGAATATTGTTAGATATTTCTGTATAATTCTGCTTAGGAAATCTGTAAGAAAATTGTTAGTGCCTTTAATATGTTCTATTGTAAAAGAATATTGGGTAATAACATTAAATCATTTTAACCTTCTCATTCTAAACAATTCTTTTTATTTATGAGGAAGTCCTTTACTGCTTGGTTATCAGTACGGATAATAAAATCTTCTGGTTCAAGATACATGTGAAATCTTTTTATTGCTAATTTAATAGCCAGAAGTTCCTTTTCATAAATAATGTAATTCTATTCATTTGGTTTAAATTTACCAGAATTATATCCACAAATCAATTCTTCTTTTTGAATCTTTTCGGGATAGGAGTTTTTCGAGCTCTTATCTGGTGATTTGTGAAAATAGCTTCTTCCCATTTATCTTGTGGAATAGCTTTTAAAACACATACCCAACATAAATCTGCGGCGTCAATTTCAAGAATAAGTTTATCTCCTGTTTGAGGAAAACAAACTTCAGGAATGTTCTCAAGATCTTTTTTGATCTGTTGAACTATTCTCTTGTCGTCTTTTGTCCATTCAAAGATGTTATCTTTTTGAAGCGTCTTTATTAAAGGAATTTCTTTTTGAGACAAATCTTTAATAAAAGTGCAACCATAATTCAAGATGCCAAGAAAATTTTGAAGTTGTTTTTTTTTTTTTTTTTATCTTGAATAATATCAGGAAAATCACGAATTTTTATAATGATGTGATCATGTAGTTTTATCCCTTTTAAAACTAGACCTAAGAAATCAATAGTTTCTTGTTCAACTACTATTTTATTTGGTGACATGATAACTCCATGTTTTTGGAATTTATCAGATAGTAGTTTTAAATGTTTCTTATGATCCTCCCTTATTTTAGAAAAGACCAAAATATTGTCGATGTATACTATGACAAAATCTTTAAGGTTATTATAGATTTTATCCATTAATCTTTGGTATATTTGAGGTGCAGTATTGAGACCAAATGGCATTACAGTCCACTGATAATGGCCTTTTGGTGTGCTGAAATCAGTTAATAGCTTTGACTTTTTTTTTTTTTTTTTTTTTTTAATTTTAATTGCCAAAAACCTGCTTTACAATTAAACTTGCTGAAGATTTTTGCTCCGCGAGTTTGGTTGATTAGAACATCTTTTCGAGAAATAAAATAACCATCGAAAATTAAATGTTCATTAAGCCTTTTATTGTTGATTACCATACGGGCTTTTCCTCTTTTGACCTCACTATGGTTTCTTACCATAGAAGCGGGGCTACTATGAGGACTTTTAGTATGTTCAATATGCTTCTTTTTTAGAAGTTCTTGAAGCTGATCATCAGACTCATCTATATCTTTTTTTAGATATATCATGGGTTTTACTCTGATGATGACGTTAGGATCCTTTAGTCATATCTTGTAAAAACGAGGGCTACGTTTCCAGAGCGTTAAAGGATTGTCAGAGAAATTTTGTCGCAAAATATCATATAACCAATGCTTTTCAGTTAAAGCTAAAATATCATTTTCTCTTTTGGGTGGAGAAAAGTTTTTGTCACATGCTGAGGCAAGATTTTCCTAGATAAGGATCTCAACCATTGTATTATCTTTTGCAATTAAAGAAATTGTTTTTTCTTTTAGCTGTAAAGGTAAATAGGTGTAAATAAAATTATAGCCTAAGATAAAGTCTCCATGCATGAATGGAAAGCAAAGTAATTTTGGAATAATGAATTTTTTTATCATTAAGCCAAATAACAATATCATTTGCTTTGAATTGGATGACAGGATGTGGTGCTTCTGCATCTATACCTTGAACACCTATGGGGTGTTTCATTGTTCTCCATTTATCTGCTGGTATGGCATTGTATCTGCAACAATTGGTTGTGGCTCCAGTGTCAATGAGAACACAAAGATTATATGGCTTATAACCTTTAAAATTGAAAAAACCATTGACATAGGTATATTTCCTCTTTTTCCCTTGTGAAGGAGTAAAGAAGATTTCATCTTTTCCGTGTTGGAAATGAAAAAATCTGGCGGAGTTAAACGAGTGATTTGAACCAGGAAGAATAGGCACTTCTTTTTCGGAAATGAGGCGTTTTCCCTTTTCTTCTTCAGTAAACCTTCTTTTGGGAGGTAGATTAGAAGGTTGAATGTTTGACAGTCGAGGAAGGAGTAGTTTGTCCCATCCAGTTGGTTCACGTGGATATCGTGTAGAGATTAAACGTTGAATGTTAGGTTTCTCTATATTTTTAATATAGAGATTATAACCAGAAGCTTGAATAGTGGTAATTGTAGGTTCCTCTATTCTAACTTTCTTTTCTGTGTTAATACATTCGAATAACCAATTTCTTGGTATTTCGAGGTCTGTCCATTTCAATAACTTTGGTTCAATTATTGAATTGAAGGGTCGAGGTTCAAAAAGAGTGACCAGTTTGGGGTCAATCGAAAGAGTAGAAGTTTCAGGTTCTTTGGTTAGTTCGTATAGAACTTTCCATTGAATTCCTAAAGTTGGAGTGTTATGATCCATTTGAAGATTTAAAAGTTTGATTTTAACTTTCAAAACCTTTTCAATGTTAGGATCATCGATGGAAATAAATAATTTGGTGTAAGTTTAAACCAAATAACATTGTTAACAAGATTCGATTGGACACCTCCGATTAAGGCGTCAATTGGGTTATGGAGTCTATTATCCATAACAAGAACACGAATGGGCTGATCAGTTCCTTTTCTGAACAAAGAGGTGATCTTGATTTGGACCATTCCTATATGAATATATTAGGCATGAGGAAATTGATTTTTCCATCTAGCAATTTTTTCTTTGCTAAAGATGTTGAAATCTGGCATACCATTGGATGAGGTATAATCAATCGTGATATTTCCGCTGAATTGTTCAAAAATACTTTTTGAAAAGATTTGTGACAACTTAGAAGTCTTGTAGAGATCTTCCTTCTTCAGCTTTAGAAGTTTAGCAAACTGAATTAGTTGTTTGTTCTTGAACTGGACTTCTTCTCCAATAAAATTGCCGAGTTTAATGTTAGAGGATTCTTCTTCAAGATGAGAAGTAAAATTTTATCATATAAACTTCTTCATTATTGTCGTCGGATTCTGATTCACTAGATATTTCGTAGAGAATATTATCTGAATATGAGAGATCACGACCATAGATGATACAAAGATCTTCTGTTTCGATCATTTTAATCATCTTTGATGTTCCTTTGCCCTTTTTGGGGCAATTGGGAGCGATGTGGCCTTCTTTATAGACCAATAGTGAATACACAGCTTTGCCCACAATTGGAAAAACAATTAGGTCTGAAGCCTACAACCATAAGAAAAAAAGATAAAAAGCCAAACACTCCTTTTGAATTCCTCTTCACTACACAATTCATTCCGCACACCCCAGCCTAGGCCGTCAATCCGCTAAATCAAGCCGAATAGATCCGATCTGTGCGGTGCGGTTTGGTTTTCTAGTGTCGTGATTCGGTGATGGATTGAAAAATTAGTAATTCGTAGTGACCGGATCGATTAACGGATTAAGTGCTGAAAAAACCGAATTGATTCGTGGCTAATCCTTAGAACTAATAAATATATGTAGTATACAGTATATGTAGAATACATTATTAATGTTTTTGTTTACTTTAATTATTAAGTTTTACGAACCCAAGATGATGCTTTACTGCTTACACTTTTTAGTTTTTATATTTCTTTCATTTGCATGCATCTCTGGCCTCCCATCAAGTCTCATTTGATCCCACAAACCCACTGCTCTGCTCATAGTCTCTTATGGAACGCAGACAAGTAAGTATCTCCAATTTACATCGGCCGATCATTTCCTCTTCATCTACATCTAATTTCCAATGAGTTCATAAGTTTTTCATTATTTTCTTCTATTAATTTTTGTTCTTCTCTTTTGGAAAAAAATCCTAATTGCTCCATCTTGTCACTTAGTTTCAGTTCTACCTTGTCATTTTCATAGCCCATTTATTAATATGTATAGTCTTTAAAAAATCTTGTCTGACTTAGACAAAAATCAGTATTTCGAAACAGAGTTAACAATAACAGATTCTCTTTTTTTCAATTAAATTCACACATGACTCAGACGAAAATAGTATTTTGCCTCTAATTTCAGTTTTCTTAGTTGTGTTTTGTTAAGCTCTATCCGTGGGAACCGAACCGAACCGAACCGAACCAATTTGTTATTTCACAAATCGGTTTAGTTCGGATTGAGAGTCCCCATGGATCGGTTCGATTTCAGATTTAGCAAATCTGTGAGGACCGGATTGGTTTGAATTTTACCCAAAACAGAACCGAACCGATCCGTGATCAACCCTACCCCAGCCTCCCTATTCATTTTCCTTCCAATTTCTCCCCTTCACAAGGTATATACTTTCTTAATTAGCAGCTAAACCTCTGTTTGGATCACTTTCAACTGATGGGTTTGACCAGAATCCATTCATTTCAATTTATTATCACATGGAAATAGTTTTCCTCCATTTTCCTACAACCATATATAAGAAAAAAGATAGCAAAACAGACCTTGTGAATTCCTCTTAAGAACACAATTCATTCCACACACAGCCTCCCTATTCCTTTTCCTTCCAATTTCTCTCCTTCACAAGGTCTAGACTTTCTTAATTAGCAGCTAAAACCTCTGTTTGGATCACTTTCAACTGATGGGTTGACCAGAATTCATTCATATCAATGTATAATCACATGGAAATAGTTTAATTTCCTGCATTTTCCTGCGTTTTCTTGGCTGTCCTACAACTATAAGAAGAAAATAGCCAAACAGTAGTTTTGAATTTCTCTCAACAAACAAAATTCATTCCACAACAGCCTGCCTTCTCCTTCACATGGTCTAGACTTTCTTATCTTAACCTTTGTTTGCATCATTTTTCTGCATTTTCCTGAATTTTCTTGGCCCTCCTACTACCGTAAGAAGAAGATAGTCAAACAGTCCTTTTGAATTCCTCTTTACTACACAATCCATTCCACTCCAGCCTTCCAATTCCTTCACAAGGTTTGGACTTTCTTTGCTCAACCTCTGTTTGGATCAATTTCAAGTAAAGAATATGGCCAGAATTCATTCATTTCAATGTAATTTCACATGGAAATAATTTTCAAGGCGAAAAGTGGTTCAAGAGAGGCAATGGAGGCTCAAACAGAGAAGGTTTACGTCGCGATTGGGACCGATATGCAAGATGGATTTGGGACCCTGAAATGGGCACTTAGAAAGTGGAATTCACATTCAATCTCCATAGTAATCCTCTATGCAGCTAACGACATATCCAAAGAATATGTTTACACACCACGTAAGTTATATATATTAACATTTCAGTTCCTTTCCCTTTGACATTTCAATTCCTTTCCCTCTTGTACTTTAGTTGTTCAATAGGTAACATGAGTCTCGTTTTCCTTCGCAGTTGGAAAACTACCTGCAAGTTTGGTTAGTGATGAGAAATTGAAAGTTCATAGGATGACAGAGGAAAGGAAAATTGACAATTTACTATCCAACTATGTAGCATTTTGTGGCCATTTCAAGGTTTGTTACATTTTTTTTCTTCCCATTATATATGTTGCATTAAATTTAATTCTTCTAAGACTTACCAAATGTTTTATCATTTGTTCTTCATAGGTCAAAGCTGAAATTCTTAAAATTGAGAAACATGACGAACCCATTCACAACAGCATACTAAATTTGATATCCGAACTCGCGGTAACAAAATTGGTTATGGGAATTACATTCATGAAGTCCTCATCATGGTATATATTTTCTCTTAATTAGTTTTATTGGAAGTTATTAATTAGCTCTAAATGTTTACTCTTAGAGGGCTGTTCTAAATTTTTTTTATTATTTTTTTTCTTCCCCCTTTTTTCCTTCTCTCTCTCTGAGTGCAATCAGTGGATCATTTTATGTTCACCGGCACAAACCCGATTTCTGTGAGTTGTTCATAATATGTGGAGGGAAATTGGTTTTCTTGAGAGAGGAAAACAATGGAGTACTTATGGAGGATGATCAAGGAGTCATGGTTGCTAAGGTCAGAAGAAAGGTTGGTTTCAAAGGTTGGCTTGAAAAAATGATCTCCCAAAATGGTACTAATGAGAAAAGTTTACTTAGCTCACCTTCTTCGTCGACGGACAACAATTCCCCTGATGAGTGGAAACATTTTTTCCGAGAGATGGAAAACTATTTCCATCAATTGTTGTCTTCCCATTCAGATGAAGAAGATTGTGCAGAAGAGAATGACACCTTGGAGACTAGTCCAACAGCAACAGATATGACAGAAAATATGGTAACTTTAATTTTATTTTTTTCTTTTTATCCAAAGTTCAACCAAACACATACACAACCACAATATTGCAGTTCGCGCTCCACTTATTTGTCTTCTACCAATGAATGTCTCCTCCTCATCTTTTCCTTTTAACTCTTGTGGCACATGACATGATAGTGATGTTGGGGATTTTAGATATTTTTATACAATCTTATAGTATAAATAAAAACAATATACTAAAATAATAGGTCAGTAAAATATATAAAATCAATAAGAGGAGTAAAGAAACTTCTGGTCTGTTTAATAGAGAGGCACGCAGTATGCGCTGTCTTAAAGCCTTTACAGTCTCCCTACGTGCAGGTTATGACAACTATGAAAGACTGCAAGATACAACTCCAGTGTCCTCTATAAGCACGTTCACAGAGAGCCAAATCACCCAGTCTTTGTGTCATGTTGCCCCCAAAAACTCAAAGATAAGAATATAGTATAATAATATATATGGGTTGTAGGAAGAGATTAGAGAAGAGACGTGAGACGTATAAAGATATGTAAGTTAAGCATTAATTATTTTGTTGAAGAGACCATATATTTATAGGCAACCTTATGCCTCTAGCAACCCTTGTCAGAAGCACCTTCTCATATTTATTCACACCTCTTTAATTTAACCTTAAAATGAAGTTTTAAAAAATTTTATATGGTAAAAACCTAACAGTCCCCCGCAAGTTTTTAAAACTTACATGTGAAAATATAAGTATATAAGAAATAAAATAATTAGGGCAACTGAATACTATGCAATAAGTGCAAGAGTCTTCTGGACTTGAACTTGCACTTAGTGTTATTGTCTCCATCTGAGGAACCCGAGAGACTAGGTCTTGAACTCGGCCCCTTTAATCAGACTTCAACATGTAGCACACAAAGTATTGACTTAAGACTAGGTCTTGAACTCGGCCCCTTTAATCAGACTTAAACTAACATTAAAACATAAACAACTAATACATGGATTAGTAATTAAGGCAGAACATAATTTTAATTTCAATAAATCAAGTTATAAAACAACCTGTTTTTTCGGTGTTTTATTTATTTATTTATTCCAACGATAATAAACATTAAAGTTCTTTTAGGACTCAAAATGGAAAAGAATTTGAGTTTACTTCATCATGAATTACCAATTATAGAGTTTTAACCATCACATAACTCTATACATGAATTATCAATTACAGAGTAGAAATTATTATAGTTAAAGTGTTCAGATGCTCTAAACTCCAAAAAATATGTGATGAAGAAGCAATATTTAACTATATATATATTTGTTTATCAATTAAAAACAGAATTTATAAAGACTTTCACCTTTCCCAAAACATCTAAACTCCACTATATATTAAAGAAGAAAACTATTATACTCTTATCAACCAGAATTCGAAACTATAGTAAGATATATACAATGTTCTTTTCCACTTAAAAGTCTTCCACTTCAAAGTCTAACACATGGTTGCCACTCCAAGTGTATTTATTAAAAGAATGAATTAAGTAGTTTCCTTATGAGCAGACTTTCAGGAAGATAATGCTTCATAGAAAATTAGCTTGGAAAACTAGAACATATATAAAGCAATAATAATTACAGGAAACACATAGATGGGATTTAAAGGCTTTAGATTGTTGGGGATTTTAGATATTTTTATACAATCTTATTTTTAAGTTCATTCACCTAATTATATTAAAATGCTATCCTTATATATTCATGTCACAATATATATAGTATAAATAAAACAATATACTAAAATAATAGGCCAGTAAAATATATAAAATCAATAAGAAGAGTAAAGAAACTTCTAGCCTGTTTAACGGAGAGGCACGCAGTATGCGCTGTCCTAAAGCCTTTATAACCTCTCTACGTGCAAGTTACGACGACTATGAAAGGCTCCAAGATACAACTCTAGTGTCCTCTATAAACACGTTCATAGAGAGACAAATCACCAAATCTTTGTGCCATGTTGCCCCCAAAAACTCAAAGATAAGAATATAGTATAATAATATATATGGGTTGTGGGAAGAGATCAGAGAAGGGACGTATAAACATATGTAAGTTAAGCATTAATTATTTTGTTGAAGAGACTATATATTTATATGCTACCTTGTGTCTCTAGCAAATAGACACAACCCTTGTCAGAGATACTTTCCCATATTTACTCACACCTCTTTAAGTTAATCGTAAAATGAAGTTTTAAAAAACTTTAGACGGTAAAAACCTAACAAATTATAGGAGCCTACAAATGGTGTGTTCGGATGCAAGAGTTCCAAGTGCACACTCATGACTATTGCTTATCCATCTTGTGTTCTTTGATGATCCATTTTTTTGATAGGACTTCCATATAGATTTTTTTGATATCCAAATTTCACCTTTTGGAAGTGAATTCTTTTGTTTTCGAAGAAAAAATTTACGTTTATTTTTCTTCGATTCTAGTCAAAGTTTCAAACTAGTCTTTCTAACCAATTTGGCGTGATATCAGAATGCTGCAGAGAAAATTGAAGTGCTAAAAATGAGAATAGCCAAAGCTCATGAAGTGATCCAATTGAAGAGGAAACAAGCTAAGGATGATGTTGAAAGACGAACTAGAGCTGAATGGGCCATTTGTTTATGTGCTCGCAGGGTAATTTCTTAGTCATGTCTTTTGTTTACTTGACACTTCCCTTCAATTTAATAGAAATTATACCATTTTGCCTTACAGGTTGAGGAACTCGAAGCAAGCACAAAAACAGAGAGAGCTGACCGCTTTGAACTCAAGAAAGACTTAGACACCATGAAAGAAGAGCTTTATGAAGTCCAGAGCAAAGTGGGGGAGAAAAAGAGTAAGCTGAATTCGATTTTGGAGCTCCAAGGCGAGCTCTCAAACAAGCTCCAACTATCCTCTCTAGCAAAATCACGCGCAGAGGCAGAGCTAGAGAAGGCAGTGACCACAAGAGCTGAAATGGTTCGTAAGATTGAGGAGTTGAGACGACAAAGGGATGTTTTGCATTGCAGAATCGAGTTCTGCAGAGAGAAGGATGCAATAGGAATGGCCACAAGGTTGTGTGATCAATTGGAGTTTAACAATAAAGAGTACACAGCTGAAGAGATTAGAATAGCCACCTATGGTTTCTCAGAGCGTTTGAGATTGAAATCAGCCGGTGAGAGGACAAATGTGTATAGGGGACGGATCAATTCTATGACGGTTGCAATAAAATTGTATAATGCAGTCAATGGACTATCTCAAGAAGCCTTCCAAGCTAAGGTAGGTTACTTTCTTTTTTTTTTAGCTCATACAACTAATTTTAATGGTTGCAGTAACATTTTTGAGACCTATCATGTAATGGCTTTTGATGCTTATAAAGCAGGTGAAGCTCCTCAGCCACATTAGGCATCCTCACCTACTCGCCATGATCGGATTCTGCTCCGACCTAAAATGCATCGTCTTCGAGTACATGCATAATGGCAGCCTAAGGGATGCATTGTTGCCCATCCAGGGAAGCCCCAAAAGAAGAAACTGGGGCCTGAATTGGCACGCTTGCATTCGGATTGCAGCCGAGGTTTGCTCGGGCCTGGGCTTCCTTCACTCTGCCCAACCCAGGCCCATTGCTCACGGTAGCCTGAACCTCTCCAAAATCCTCCTGGATAGTTATCTTGTTGCTAAAATCTATGGCTTTAGGCTTGGTTGGTGCTATGATGAATCTGATGTTAGGTCAGACATTCGTGCTTTCGGCAACCTAGTACTGCAGCTTCTCACTGGGACAAATTGGGCCGAGCCCGTCCAAGAGGCGATAATGATGGACAGTGCAGCAGTTGTTGGTGTTTTAGACGAGATGGCTGGAGAATGGCCACTAGAATTGGCAATGGAACTTGTCTGGATTGCAAAGAGGTGTTTGTCCACCAATGAAGGGACCGCGACAATCGCGAGAGCGATCGGCGAGGTGAGAAAACGGGCGGATGAACTAGCCGCCGACGGAAATAGTATGAAAAGTCCATTAACTTAGTACTTTAAGTATTAGCTATCATTTGGCAAGGATCAAATTAGTACTTTTAGTACTCCATCTCCATCTGTCCCAAAAAAGATATCATATTTTTCTTTTTGATTTGTCCCAAAATAGTTATCCACTTCCTTTTTTCAAACAATATATTTTATATTTTTGCATATATTTCATTGGAGTTTAAAATTTAACTTAAATATAAGGACAAATTAAACTTGAATATAAAGACAAATTAATAACTTTTCAAGAAAACAAGGCATGTCTCACACGTTTCCTTAAAATTTCCTACTCTCCAAAAACAACATTTAAATTAAGACAGAGGAAATATATAATATAGTGTATATGTATTTACAATGTGTATATATATTGTATATATTTGAGCTTTAACTAGAGAAAATCCCATTAAGTTTAAGCTTTATAACATTATAGTCTTTTTGTTGTTGACACGAATGACAATAAATGATGCTATTTATAAATAAAAATCCCAAGCTTGAGCATTGTCATCAAATTACAATTCGGGAGAGAGAACACGAAAGAATGAATTGAAATTCAAGAGTCATATTTCAATTTGATAGAGAGAAGTAAAAGAGATAACTGAATTGAAATTCAAGAGTCTTGAATTAAAAAATGTAAGAACCAAGTATTGTGCGGTTTATAGGCTCTTTTGTGATTTCATTTTAAAATGAGTGTTTAATGAAAATCATTACAAGTTAAGGGGAATTTTATGCAATTCACCCCAAATAATATTATTTCATTTGCAAATGTAACCTATTAACATTCATTTTTCATGGATTAGGTTTAAATTGGAATTTTAAAAATTATTTTAGAGCTCCTAATAGAGAGGTTTTATCTACACCACACTTTGAACAGCACTGCACTTTTAAAATAAAATGACGTTATTGTCCCTAATGTCATAATTTGTTGACACTTTTGTCATTTACTTAATAAAGTGAATTTGTTTAGACTTGAAGAAATATTAACGTGAACGGCGAATATTGACTACCCCTCTCAAACCAAAATAATTGTCATTTTTTGAAATGTTAATTTTTTTAAAAGATATACATTAACGCCTCTTTAAAATTCTAAATATGAGACAAAAAAAAATTTAGAATTTGATGTTATTAATTTTGAAAAAAAAAAATTTGAATTCAAGATAATTTAGTAAAATTAAAAATTTTATGTATGGCACGACTTTGGCACAATTATTCTTGCACATCACAAAAGGAATACGACATCTCATTCGGAATGAAGAGTAAAATACTCGATAGCTGCCGGTTGCTAAATGGAAAAACTTTTCACACATGCATAGAAGTGTGTGTGTCAGCCTTAGCTAAAGTCAGTATGAATAGGAGAGCTCTAACTAAATTTGTCTTTATCAAATATCATATTTATGTACAGTAATATTTAAATTTTATGATAATGACATTCAAATTGCACAACACATAATGATCCTTACAAATTAAAATAATTGTAGGATATACCTGAATTTTGTAAACGATGAAGGAAGAGAGAAAGGATAAAGCAAGTCCCCATTGTTTAGCATTAAGAGACTGAAAAGGGAAAGAAAGATGAACAAGGTATGATTCTAAGAAGAAATTTTTTTATGAGTCCCAAAACTGAATTGAAGGACGGAGGAATAAGAAGAATAACTATGTAAAAATTGCACATAGATAATACTACTCTTCGTCAAAACTTGTTAAATACTGTATTTGTTTGTTTATTAATTTAGATATTTGTTTTCTAACTTATAATATATTATAAACTATATCTCAATTTCTTATAAAAAGAAAAATAAAAAATAATGTTTGTAAAATAAGATAAGGGTAAAGTACAAAGACACCCCCTTGAGGTTTGCCAAAAAGATACCCACATGAAAATTTGTCTATTGTGGGACAACCACACCCCCTTGTGAAATTTACCATTCTAACAGAACGTTAAAACATATGAAAAGTCCATTTTACCCTTCACTTTTTATTAATTTTAATTATAAAATATCAAAATACTTAAATGGCCAAATTACCCTCAGCACCCAATTAATCCTACAACTAGATTTTGGCGTAACCACCACACAAAAATCCACAACCACCAAGATCCCCACCCGCAAACCACTGCCACCATCTCCACCCCAACAACCACCCCAGCGTATTCCAGCAATTTATTTTCTCTGTTCATTCATCATTAACATACCTTCACCCTTCACCACCAATTAATTACAAAGCCAAACCCAAAAAAAAACAAAGAAAAAAGAAAAAAAGAGCAACCCATTTACAGAACAGCCAAGCCATCATTGCCGAATTTTTTTCTCTGGCCGTCCTTGCTTGCTACCCGCATCCAAAGTTGAGCTCGCTGTCGCCATCATCCACAACTGAGCCATGACATCACCGTCTTCAGCCTTACACATCACTGAGCTCGCCACCGCCTCCATCATCAAAGTCGAAGCTCCGCTGTCACCCTCATTTGAGTCACCGCCAATTCATCCACAGCCAAACCAGTCCGTCTCCACCGGCTGAGTTCTCCTTGCCCGCCGGTGCAGTGCCGCAAACCGTCATCGCTGTTCTGCGCTCTCTATTTCGCGAACTAGCCCGTCGACATCATCTTTACCATTGCCAATCACGGTTGAACCAGCCCGTCGCCATCATCTCTGCCATCGCCCATCACGGCCGAACCATCGTCGCACTTATCTCATCGACGACTACAGGGCTCTATGGGTGGATGTAATCGAAGGTGGGCCACGGATATAGAGTCGGCCACGTCGAATTCGAAGGATCTAGAATTGGCCAGTCGTTTGATGTAGAGGCAATGGATGACGATGACGCTGACGGTGGAGGAGAGGCGGCTAGCCGTCGTCGCCGCCTTATGTGTGTATGTGTGTGTGTATATATATATATATATATATATATATATATATATGTATCTATATATAAATATATATATTTGTGTGGGTGTGTGTATATATGTGTGTGCGTGTGATAGTATGTGTGTGTGTGTGTGTTGGTGTTGGGGCAGAGGAAGAGAGAACATAGAGGAGAGAAGGAAAGAAATGGTTATAGGGATGAGGTTAGAAAGGTCATTTCAACGTTTAAATTGGTCAATATAAAAGTCAAAAGGTAAAAATGTCAATTTATTATCATTGGGGTGTCTTTGGTAGCTGATCAAACTTGAGGGAGTGTCATTGTCCCAAAATAGATAAACTTTCATCTGGGTGTCTTTTTGGCAAACCTCAAGGGGTGTTTTGTACTTTACCCATAAGATAATGAGAGGCTATAATAGTAAAAAAAAAAAAAAAAAACATTAAAACCTCCTCTTACCTTCTTTTCCCAACAAAGTAATGGTTCGTGTCACCATTTTTTCTTATCTTCCAATCAATTATAATAAGAATGAAATGGTAGCTTTCCTTTCCTAGGGATGCCCACCTCATTCTTAGATTATGTTATAGGGCATTTATCTTTTGTAAAATCTAAGAGAATTGATTAGTTACAATTAGTTATTTGACTTCTCATGCTAAGTCCTTTTCGAAAATTTTACAAACATGGGCAACTATGGGATTGAGAGAGGTTTAAATTTTAGTTCCTTAATAAAATTTGCAACCAAGAAACAAGAATAACTTATAATTTTTAAGGCTACATGTTATTTTTAATGGGTTAAGGGTGGATAATTTATCCATTCGTGAAATAAGATTAGGATAGTTATTATCTTAACTTAGGGATGTGGTTGTTTAAAAATTTGAAGTAAAATTACAAAAATTGATATTAAGTTAAATTTAGGAACAAATCAATGAAGAATATAAGCCTTTAAGTTAAAACAAAAAAAATAAATTAAGAATTTAAACTAGGGGTGGTAATACTTGACACGACTCGAATAAGATACAAGATAAGTAGGTTTGGATTTAGCTTAATAGTGATCAAATCATAATTTTGTCGACCCAAATTGACACTCTAATTATTCTTGTTTAATCCGTCAACTATTTATAACTTAATTACTCTCTTGTAACTAAACTTGTTGTGTTTGTGTTCAAAATCGACAACCTGTTTATAACTCTCATGTTTCTGAAGTGTCAGATAAACATGGTTGCGTTCGTGTTAGAAATGATTCATTTAACTTAATATGTTGGGTAAATGTGTCATGTTCGTGTTAGAAATGACTCATTTAACTAAACGTATGTATCAGATAAACGTGTCGTGTTTGTATTGATTTGACTCAAATAAATATATATATATTTTTAATTAAACGTGACCTATCGTATTATGTTTGTATTAATTTGATCATAATATTACGAAATTTTAGATAAATATGTCTTGTTTTGTTTTGTCACATCTAATCTTGATTCATTTATTAAATGGGTCACATGTATCATGTCACGTTACGTATATAATAATTACGCTCATGTCAATGTAACTATATGCCTATATCCTAACATGACACTCTAACACTAATTAACAGTCATAATTTAAGCTTTTGAGTCTTTTTCAAATTCTAATTGATGTAAGTGAAAGTGATAAATTTATTTATGAGGAACAGGTTACCTTGAATCCACAAGGTGGGTGTTTTGAATTTACAAAACAGAAAGAAAATTTAGAAAAATCTGATATATTATTTGATAATTAAATGAATAAAATATTAGAAAACGAAAATACAAAGAAACCTAATTATAAAAGAAAAACAATTTTTTAAAATTATTAAATAAAACTATGCTTCTTATAAAAAATATAAAAATAAAATAAATAAGAAATCTAAATAAAAACAATAACAATAACAATAACAATAACAATAACAATTACTAATTGTGATAAAACTGTCTCCCCTTTACTTGAGAAGCAAGTAAAGAAACTCGTCGTCGAGTTTAAAGAATGCAGAGTTCCACCTTCGTCACAATGCTTCTTGACATATGTATCAAATTGACCAGTGTTCTTCGGGTATTTCAATCTCCTAAGGTGCCCTTTATCAACATTCCCATGTATCTCAGCACAATGGGTTGTAACCACGTACTCATTGGGAGTCACCATACCATAACAGAATATTGCACATATGTCTAAAGCATTGGGCCCACCAGGTATATCATGAGTGCAGTTTTCCTCATTGTTCTCTTTTGTAATTGCAACCAACCTCTTCAAATTGAAACTTTTCCACAAATACAAATAAGATTTGACCGTTTCATCATTAATAACT